GTGGGGACACCAATATTTTCTTTAGATTTACAAATATAAATTTATTCAGCAAGACTTCTGCAGAAATAGCAAATTGATTTTCATGGTATACTTGTATGAAGAAGATAATGTTATTATACGTGTACAAGGCAGAGTGCTAGCTCACACAACAAACAGATCTTCATGAAGAGCACAATGGTAGTATTCACCTTCTATATTGGTTTCAAATCACTGAATATGTACTAGCGCCGGCTCTGGATTTCGTTAATGAAATGTTGCATAATTTCATTTTTACTAACTTCATTGAAAAGACTTATGAACTAAAGAGCTCTGGATTCACATTTTCAAATACAGTATCATAGTTCACAGATGAAAGGAATTTGTTGTTTACTGAAAACACAAAGTGCAACCAACTGAAAATAAGCTTACTTATGTCAAGTAGTGCCCAATTTTTTGACTAGTCAGAGACTCCACAGGGTGACTCAAGGAACAAAATTACTCAGCCCTGTTGAAGATACCAAAGCAAAGCTCTCAACTGTAAGCCTCCTTATTAAAGCTGTTCTACAAATAAGAACCATAAGATCTAATAGGCATAATGATTCACCCTGACTTCATGTTGACAATATTTCTACCATTAACAGCTGCACCTAATATTACAGGCTGGCAATTTTTAGAGCCGGTCTATACTCAGAATAAAAAATATCAACACATAAATGATCTTCAGATTTTATTAAATCAGAAAATAGTGTTTTGTAAGAAAAACAAATAATATGAAGACTAGCTGAAGCAAATATCTCCTTCACTCATCCTTCTGTTTTCCTAACCTTTTCTTCTGATTCTCTGCACTTCCACAAAGCAAGCAAAGTAACAATATTGTTTTTATTGGGTATTTGAAAGAAGAAATTAAATAGTAATTTCAGCCCCTTAATTTTTTCTTCCTTGTCCCTTCCATTCAAAAATCCTGAATGTGTACCATTGACTCTGGGTAATAATCAGTTTAGGCTGTTATAGACCCTCTTCATATAAAAGCTGCTAGTCCAGTAAGTGACTCAGCTGAAAACTGAATTTCTCTCCTTTTTGGAGTTTCCCAAAAGGAAAATAAATTACTGATTTCTCTTTCTGGTTCTGGTTTGCCTTGAAAATTCATGGAAGATTGAAAACACTGAACCATTGTTAGGTAATTACTGCCGTGAGGTAAAAAGAAAAGGTAAATGTTTCATGAGATCCTAAATGAATATGAGGTCCAAGCTAGATAAAGGTTAGCAAAAAATACAGCATGTCAAATGTTTAAGTGGCATTTACCTGTATGTAGCAATATGCTTTCTAAATTGAAAATCTAGTTGAACTCTACATATGGAAAAATGAAGGAAAGAAACTGGGTGAAATATGAGAGAGAATATAGAAATATCTGGGGCAAAAGAAAGTCCTGGGAGTTCTCTTACCACGGCATACACACCTCAGCCACCTACAGATGTCCAGTTTGGGTTGCAAATCCTAAAGACCCAAAGCTACAAAGGTGGGAGACAGAATAAGAAAGAATGTGAAAGAGAAAAGGATTATTAAAGTAGGACAAGAGAAGGAAAAAAGTAGAATACATAAATTAAGACTACGCAGCCTGAAGATTATTATAAAGTATGAATTTAAAAGCAGATGCTTCCTCTAGATCAGGCCTAAGATCCATCCAGACTGCTTTAAGTTACGTACACTGTGTCCACTAGCAGCTGGCACTTCAGGAGAAAGAGTGAGAAACTGCAAATAAGCTGTACAGAATAACCATGCTTTTCCCTAATCTATTTAGCTTGATGCTGACTTCTATCCCAAAACATGATCTCGAAGCACAATATCCCTTGCAAATCTCATGTTCATTTTTTAACCCCGGCTCATCAAACACAGAAACATCCATTTCCCTTTGAATCCCACACGGCTCTTAACTTCCATTATATGTTGTGGTAATAAGCACCACAAGGTAACTGTTCAACTTACAAAAAAATCTTTTAAGTTTGTTGTCTTTTCAAAATTGAAAGGAGGAGATGACTAAAAGACGACAAGTTTTTAAAGTAATTGTAGTCCAGGGGCATGTTGCACGTTAGCATTCCTCTCAGCATCGCTTTGTGCTCTCATTTTGGGTGCTGTCTACTTTCCTACCATTGACTTCCCTGCTTAGAAAGACCTCCATCCACCTTCCCCAAGGGAAGACAACATTGAGGCACAGTAAGCAATTTTTACTTTTTAAAATAAGATAGGAAGCACTGCTTTTTATCTAACTAAAACATTTCAAAAGTACAGACTGAATACTATGATGCACAGAGATTATACCCAAAATGGTTTGCTAGACATTTTCAGCATCTGTTCCCAGGTGTTTGCATGGTATTTGTGTAGATGTTTGCCCTCATGGGCAAAGGACAAGGATCCAAACAAAGGATTTTACAAATTACACAAAGATGATTAAAGCCGGCATGGCTCAATTTACTCTTCCGCCTTCCTTTGAAAAGTAAATGAAAGTTCATTGTACTATCCACTAAATTGCTTACATTAAATGTATTTGTGTCGGGATCTTCTTGGTCTATAGGATTTCATACTATTAGCTGGAAAGATTCCCAGTTAAATGTATTTGGTGGATGGCTGGAGGCTGGGGGTTGGGAGGAGAAGGGGAACAGTGGCTGCCTTACAAGATTTGCAGAAAAGACATCTTTACCTTACATGGTAAGTCATAAACATACATTAAGAGAAGTTACTTAAAATTTTTCTATATCACATTGCATAATCTGGACCCATCTTAGAGAGCCAAGGAAAGGGTCAAAGCCTTGAAGACAGATCTAGAAAACCTGGGCTGAAGAGTCAATTTAATAGTTAGCACAGTAAGTATCTGGTTCCCCTGTTATGCATAAACCTCATCGTGCTATTGTTAGTCTATGCAGCATCAAAGACACATTTGCAGGTAGTCTTGGAAAGCCAGCAACTTAAGACACCACAATAATGCCACTTGGTGTGTAGGGGGAGGTTAAAGGATGATTAAAAGCAGTCAGGCACAATATATTAAATGAACCCATGACTAACGGGGTGTGACAGCAAAGGGTTTCATTCTTTTCAACAGAATAGATCCCTAGGGCTGGAAGTATTACTCCACTGTGCCTTTATCACCTTGGAATTTTTATGGTTATTTTTGATGAATTCACAGTTTTGTAAAGACTTTTGACATTAAGCCAATTTTAATTTTTAATTAAAGCCATAAATAACCTTAATTCTGCATTAATAAAGTTTATTGTTTCTTACTTTTAATTATTATTACTGCCAGGAAATATTTCAAATACCAAAGCATGATGTTAGTTAGCAATTATAAGTTCTCAAAGGTCCAGTAACTACGCTGCGCCTTGTACACATTATACATTGCAACCTTTCTTCATGCTTTAAGTATCTGGCTTGATAGATGCCACTATTTTTCTTTTCTTTTTTCTGGAGGTTTGGGTTGTTTCCCCTTACACATATCAGCATATCTCAGGTGACTAATAAGCATAATTAAATCCTTATCCAGCAGGGATGCAAAAAAAAAGCAATTTTAAGTCTAGAATGTGCCCATAGAGAGTGAAGCAAGGAGTAAAAAGGGCCAGGTTTAAACTGTTTGTCAGTAAAAAGAAATGGAAAATGAGCAAAATCAAATAATGAATGAAATGCAGGAAGGAAAATCCCACATAGCATGGCAATCTGACAAAATGAGAGAGATGAGATAACATGTTATTTCACTATCAGTGACAGTAATGTTACAGTGCAGTTTAATACCTGCATTCAGGTTCATTATGTCAGTTTTAGTTGAGGCATCACACACGAATTTCTCAGAATGCAACTTTATGACTGGCATTTAGTTTACATGCTTGTAAAATACAATGTCTGGGTGGCTGCATTGCCCTCCTGGGATAGGCGCGACAGTGCTCACCAACCTCCTTCAGCAGTCTGGCCTATGGCAGGGTGCAGAGGGGCAAGGGAGCCAAAGCACTACTTACTAAGGTGGAAATGAATGCTCAGTTACTTCATCTCAGCACATCTCCCACAGCAGTGGGCACTCGTAAGTTTAAAGGAAATTCCTCAAAAATACTACAAGCCAGTTCCTCAGAGGCTGTCATGCAGGTCTCTGCTGTCATGTCCTGCTTCAAAAAACCATTGAATCAAAACTTACTCTTCAAATTTGTATACTGCATCTTTAAAGACGGCCACTTGGTGCTTCCAATTCTGTATAAAGCAATTTTTTTGCTACTTTCTATGAACAGCTATGCATTTAATTTTAAAACTTCTAAACTATAACTTGTTTTACACGGTGCTGACATCTCAAAAGTTTATCTATCCCTACACCAGCTCATGCATGTTCTCCTTTTCTCAGGACCAGTTTCCTTTAAAATGAAAGCTTAGATGTTTATCCTCAATGACCTAAATAATCTAATAAAATAGTGCCAGTGATTAATAGGAGATATGATGAAAAGTGCTAAAAAAATTCTCTTAGGTCACAACTCAGCTCTTCAAAGATGTGCTTATACGTATGAACAACTGTTCACTCATGGACATGACATCCACAGGGAAACGGAGTCGAGAAATGTCTTGGTATTTGGAAGTGTCTGGCATATGGAAATAAAAATTAGAGCTTAATCTCACATACTGTTCATCTGCCCTCAATCTGTCCATCCTTCCATCTGAGACTGGCCATGTAAACTAGATTTTGTAATACTATGTATTTACTAAGTTGTAGAACTGAAAGAACAAAAATTCCTCTTTTCAAAATTATTTTGATTTGCCTCATTATGTATGTTTAGTGATTAATCATCACATCAGAAAATAAAAAGCATTAAAGCAGGCAGCCCCATTAAGTCAAAGATGAAATTACCATCTATGTAAGAACAATATGTATTCTTTCCCATTACTGTTTTTTCTAATCAACAGTCTCAAATCAGCACAGAAGAGGCATTGAAACATCTAATATTAGAACACTGACGTCCATATAAGCTTTACACCAGTCAACATGGTAAAAAATTTACCTTTTTCCTGACTTGTTGGTCTTTGGAAGAATGGGCTTTCACGTGCTTTCTCAGAGAACTTGGATCTGTGTATCGTTTAGTACATCCTGGAATCTGACATGCATAAGGCTTCTAAATCAAAAAGAAAAAGGATAAAGCAGCTGTTACATCAGATTATTTTAACTAAAGAGGATCCCTTTTGAGCTTTGGGATGCTGCAAACCACATTACTACAGAACACAAATGTTGTACATTATGAGAAGCAGAATGCTCGATAATTTATTAGAAAGAGAAAGGGGGAAAGCAAGGTTTATAAGGAAGACAAACTAAAGGAAAGCTTTTATTATGGCACCTTTCTCAATGCATATTGCTAGTTATACTCACAATTCTTCCAGCCTCAGAGAAATCTTTGACTTAATCAGAAATTACATTCTTTAGTGATCAGGTAAAGAAAATGCAGTAAAGGCCCAGATAGACTGCTTAGGATTATAGAAGAGTCTGCTTCAGAAAGAGAACAAGAAAAAGTGTTAGTTTACTACATTGCAAAGAAAGCAAGCCAAAACCAAAGGAAGCATTGAATACTGAAGTTTCAAAACATTACATACAAAAATACACATTTAATGTGAATTACAAGACAAACTCCTTCAGCTCACGTTTTCTAATAACATTTTAGAAAGATACAAGTCCTGTAATACCTTTAGAGTTTTCTTAAAAGAAAGCCCAATAAATCTAACTCACCAAGTAAATATAAATCTCTATAAACACCTCCTTCTACCTATCCTAAACTGTCTGTCTTCCTTCAAGACTTGTAGGCCCACAATACAGAGTATTAAATGAACATTAGGTCCAATTGTTTTCTGAAATTAGCTATTGTGCAATTTAGCTATTTACGTTTCACAAAGCATTTCTGAAAATACCTGGTACAAATTGTTAACTTACCAGCCATACTGTCGACTACTCAAAATGCATAATTTAAGTTTTGTGACAGCCATTTAATTCAAATGGCATTGTTCTTGTTTTTTTTTCTGGACTTCTGCCCTTTGGAAATGGCTTGTGTCTGATGAAACATGATCTTTTGTTATGGAAGTTTTTAAACAAATCTCAGCTGTGACTCAATTCACAGAGAACAATTTGGTGGTGTGAAAATTTTTAGATTTACCAAATTATTCTTTCTGGTATGTGCCCCGGCCTTAAGGTTAACTGAGAATAGCAGTTATTATCGCAGATGGCTTCTGCATGTTTGCATAGCGACTTCAGGTTCCCTAAAGATCACCTGAGTGGGACAAAGTTACTGCCTTTACCTGCAGCAAAGCCCATGGAGCTGTGGCATTTTTATCAACCAGTTTGGCCCATCTTCATCCATGATTACATTACTGGGTCACTTCTGAAACAGCTTAAACAGCCTCATCAGACACTTGTCTCTCCTTTCTCTAAGGTTGTGGGCTACTTGCTGCCACCAAGCTGGAGGAAAGGAACACACAGTCTAATGTACATGGGACTGCAATGGGACTTCTGCTTCCTTACAGTGTCCAAGTGTGTCCTCTGGTGCTTGGCACGGTCACTGGAGTTGCTGAATGCTTTCTGGCAGCCAGGGTGCTGACAAAGGTACGGCTTTTCACCTGTATGGCTCCTTAAGTGAATCTTGAGATTTTCTAGTCTGGAAAAGGCTTTCTTGCAACCCTCAAACTAGAAAAGAGAAAGAAATTATTTGAAAGGAAAGCACACAAAGCAAACCACAACAGCAAACATGGGGCAGGAGGGTGAAAAGCCTTGCAGAGACCTCCAGCCTGCCACGGCCAGATGCCTCTCCAGAGCTGAGGAAAGCCTGGCTTCTCTGTGTGAGTGCTGCTGCAGGGTTTGAACCATTTAGAACCGTAGAACCATAGAATGGTTTGGGTTGGAAGGGACCTTAGAGGTCATCTAGTTCTAACGCCCCTGCCATGGGCAGGGACACCTCCCACTAGACCAGGTTGCTCAAAGCCTCATCCAGCCTGGCCTTGAACACCTCCAGGGATGGGGCATCCACAGCTTCCCTGGACAACCTCTTCCAGTATCTAAACACCCTCACAGGAAAAAATTTCTTCCTTATATCTAGTCTATATCTGCCCTCTTCCAGTTTAAATCCCTCGTCCAGTCACTGCATGCCCTTGTAAAATGTCCCTCCCCAGCTTTCCTGTAGGCCCCCTCCAGGTACTGGAAGGCCGCTATAAGGTCCCCCTGGAGCCTTCTTTTCTCCAGGCTGAACAACCCCAACTCTCTCAGCCTCTCTACGTACAGGAGGTGCTCCAACCCTGTGACCATCTTTGTGGCCCTCCTCTGGACCCGTGCCAACATCTCAACATCCTTTTTGCATTGGGGGGCCCAGAGCTGAAAACAGTACTCCAGGTGGGGTCTCACGAGAGCAGAGCAGAGGCGCAGAATCACCTCCCTCTATCTGGTCACACTTCCCTTGATGCAGCCCAGGATCCGGTTGGCCTTCTAGGCCGCAAGTGCACACTGCCGGCTCACGTTCAGTTTTTCATCTAGTTTAGACCATAAGAATGCATTTGTCCTTCCTGCACACATCTGAATTAGGAAACTATGTCCTGCTCCCATTGTACAGATGGTACCCTGAGACCCTAAGAGACCAGTTGGCTCAGAGTACAGCACCACTTGGCCTTTCTGGGAAACACAGCCCCAGCACATTCTCCCGGCAGCACGCAGAAAGCAAATGGTCACTGTAGGGTTCCCAAGTCCTGTGCCAGCTACCCTTATCTCAGCTTTGGACTTGTTTGGGTATTAGCAACTGAGCCAAACACAGGCATCTCTCAGTACCAACCAACCCAACCAGCAGAGCAACAGCAAAATCATGCAGGGAAACATCACTCTGCTCTGCCTTGCTGATGGTGGTGTAAAAAGGAAGATGATTTTTGAAATATTTTCTTTACCTTTCTGCCATGAGCAAATGCATGAGGCACTAAAAATAATGGGAGCCCATCAAAATAGGATTTAATCCCTATGGGTAACCAATAATCATTTAGCACAGTATTTCTACACCTAAGCAAGTACTGCATCTGCAGAGAAACCTACATTTATATGAGCAGAAAACCAATTCTTCATCTATCATGTTCCCCTAGTATACTTTATCATAAGGGACACAAATCTATCAGTTCTATTTGCCACCAACATTTTTATGCACATTTGATTTCAATTAGACTTGAATATTTACGAACATCAGTTAGAATTATAGGCTTTTTAAATCATGTCAGTCAACTAATCTCATTAGTTTCAGCTGCTGCGTATTCCACTGTGCAACATCTAAAGCATCTGCTGCATAACATGCTGGTTTGCAGTTCTTGTATACTTCCAACTATAATAATGCATTAACAGAGATGTCAAACATTTCTAACATTTCTAATGCTAACACAAAATTTTCCACTATTTCTCTTCCTATTCATTTTACTCACTTGAAAATAAAATTGTTGATCACAACTTGGAAGCAGAGAAGATAGTCTGAAGTTCTCTCTCCCTCCAAAACCCTAAATTATTGTGTGTCATATTCACAAGACTACACAGTTGTATATTGCAGAAAAGGTCATTCTAGCGGAACACAGAAACCACACGTCTGTGTTATAAGGAAGACCACCTTTACATAATAGTTAATGAATGTTTACTCTAAAAAACAGACTTTTTGAAGCTTGGGAATCTCTACTGCTTAAGATAAAAGGAATGAAAATATATTCTTTTTAACAACACAGAACATACTTCTTTCCTGATAATCAGATTTCAGTGAAAGTATTCCAGGGAAGACATGATTACCTATGGGGGAAAAAAGTCAGGCAGATGGTAGTTGTATTTTGAAATGGAACTCTTCTGATGAAGTTTCTAAGTTATAAACTGTGGTAGAAGAGGAGGATGTAACACCTCTATTACAATTAGTCAGTACCTAGCATGCATTTGGCATTCTGAAGCTGTTTAACACTCCCAAACATAATCCTGATTAAACTAGATTTTTTGGAAGTATTATGTGGAATTAATTGTGTAATGTTTTCCTAAACTGCAATACAGAAATCACAGTTACTGAGCTTTTATTTTTACTCTTGCATGCAAATTGAAACTGTTAAGTAGCTCATAAAGAAAATTTCCCCTCTGTACTTCCTAAACTTGGGAGTTCTTTTTGAAACATTCATTGGAGCATCCATATCTATGTCTACTTCATCTTTTTATACAGGCAATTGTCAAAAGCAGGAAACAATTAATTTACAGTGAAAGGTAAAGCATTCCAATAAAAAAGCAAAAGCAGTATTATGACTTTAAAACATTCGTGTTCTCATGAGTGTGCTGTTCATGTTTGTATACGCAGAGACAACAGTGTTCAGTGTACCAGGCAACCCTCCTGTAAAATGATAATATAGTTACATAGATTTATATAAAATAATCTGTGCAGCGTGTAGAGCTCTCCTTGATGCACCATGCACTTCTGATCTCTGTCTGGAATTACACAGCAAGCTTCATTATGAAATACATTTAGACCCTTACACTGTAGAAACAGCATGGTAATACTTGTGTGAATACTTTAATGTTAGTAGCAGGTAAACAGTGGCCAAGTGTTTAAGAAATTAGTCAGTTATCACTGTAACAGGAACTGCTCTGATTATCTCAGCTGATCACCAGCGTAACAAAGACTGAAGACCTTGACATCTATCTGAGATCTGATCCATTCACAGAAAAGTATCTAGTCTTGATTTTAAAAGTCAATTACAAGACAGCCCAGCTTCCTCTTAATCCAACTTAATCCAACTGTCCCCTATTATTATCTGGTATTAAAAATCTTCACTTTTTTCCTATCTGAATTAGTTTTGGTTCAGCATCAAACAGTGTATTTTCTTTTGTCTTTTCCTGCTATATTAACATGTTAATTAATGTAAAAGATAACTTCTGAATCTAGGTATTTCCTGTTATCCAGTGACTTAACTTTATCCCAAATAATTTTTATATATAAATTATTTGCTTTCTCACTATAAATAATGCTTTCTCAGAAATTGATTCTAAAACCAAAACAAATACAATGAAATACTCTAAGAAATACTGAAACCTGAGCAGCGCTTGATTTTACAGTAATGTTTCATCCAATATACAACATAATGTTACTGTCCTATTCTGATACTTCCATGTTTAGGCTTTTAGTATCTTTTTTTATTTGTATCAGCTATATGCAGTGATCATCAAATATTTTTCAGAGGTGCCAGTAAAACCACTAAGACAGACTTCTGAAGGGCAGATTTCAGGCTGTTTAGGACACTGGTTGGGAGAGTCCCTTGGGAGACTCTCCTGAAGGACAAGGGGGCCCAGGAAGGCTGGACATTCCTCAAGAGGGTGGTTTTAAAAGCACAGGAACAGGCTGTCCCCATCTGCAGGAAGACAAAGTGCCAGAGAAGAAGACGAGGCTGGCTAAACAAAGAGCTTTTCCTGGAACTCAAGGAAAAAAGGAGAGTATACAATCTCTGCAAGAATGGTCAGGCAACCCAAAAAGAGTACAGGGATCTTGCCAGGTCATGCAGAGATAAAATTAGGAAGGCAAAAGCCCAACTAGAACTCAGCCTGGCTGCAGCGGTAAAAGACAATAAAAACTGCTAATACAAATACATGAATAACAAAAGGAGAACCTTGGAGAATCTCCATCCCTTGTTGGACACAGGAGGGAACATTGTCACCAAGGATGAGGAAAAGGCTGAGGTGCTTAATGCCTTCTTTGCCTCAGTCTTCAATAGTCAGACTAGCTATCCTCAGGATATACAACTCCCTGAGCTGGCAGGCAGGGACAATGACCAGGACAGCCTTCCCACAATCCACGAGGAAGCAGTTAATGACCTGCTACAACACCTGGACACGCACATGGGGCCATATGGGATCCACCTGAGAGTACTGAGGGAG